ATCTATGTGAATTCCAGTGATTTATTTGTGCTCTCGTATATTTGACTCTGCGTTGAGTGTGAAGAGACGCCTCGAGATGCCAATTAATTTTGAAGTTTATAGCTCAGCCAGATGCGCCATCGATCAATTAAAAACCAAAAGACAAAGTGACAAACTACTAAATATTTAAAAATGTAGTAATACATCAAAAAAAAAAGCGCAAATCAAATTCTTCGGGTACCCAAAAAAATGTTTAAAAGTTGTTACGTATTAATGACAACTTTTAACACCAAATTAAAACTGGTTGCATTTTCTCGAACAAGCTCGTCTTGCTTCTTCAATAATAGTGTACAAATTTTGATTGTTCTCATCAATTTAATTTATAACAAACAGTTCCTGAAAATACTATACTGTTTATTATGTTAAAGCGACTTTTGCATGTTAAATATGTATGAGAACTAATTCATTTATTCGATAATACAAGGAAGGTTTCTAAGGACTTAAAACTTATTAAGCATGCTATTGTTGTGATTAATAAGTTCTAGTATGTCAATGTTTATGTATATATAAAAAATCTAATTAATTTTTATTTCCTTATTTATTATCTTTTTCAATACTGAAACGATAAATTCTAGATAGCTGTGATTTTAAAGATTTTGTTATGGACTTATTACTTTCTTAAAAAAAAGTCCTGCTAAAACAAAACTTGCGGTTGGCAAGTTATAAAATACTTTTTACATTAAATAGATCGCAGAAGAAAATTTTTTCGTAGCCACTCTAACGAAGGGCAAAGTTAATTCAATAAATGTTAAGAAGGACCCCACAACATAGATAATAGTTTTATAGCCAAATACAAATAGAAGTAAGATGTCGCAGTGAGTGGAATTTTTTGGCTTTTAAAACATGTGTTGGGCAATAATCTCTTCAAGTCGCTCTTTAAAACAAAGTATTTTTATCATACCCTTCATATCAGAAGTAGACAAATTATTGTTCATATTCAAGAGAACTAATAAAATTTGTCAAACTTGTCACAATTTTAAAAAATCACATGATAAATAGGCAAAAGGCAAGAATTCTCATTCTAAACAATCTTATCTAATTAATAGCAGATATATCCATATATAACCGCGACAGCAAAAAATATATATGCTTAACTCGAAGTTTTAAATTCTTTTGTTTCGATTTAAAAAAAAAATTACGCAATATTTCATTTTATTAAAATGAATATTTTGGCAGTAAAATATTAAAGCGCGATTAAAAGAAGTAAATCTAGAAACTTGAGCAGGAAAAAAAGTGAAATAATTTGTGGGCCCTTGCGATGAATGTCAACCAACTTGTTATTATTTTTTTTTCGAGCCATTAACATACACCGTGGGTTTTTTTATGGGCGATTTAAATCCTGCTTCTTACATACATACATATATTTCTTAATTAACAACGTAAGCAGCTGCTGAAAGCCACATTGACAGATTCAACTGCAAAATCGAGGTCGAGTCGGGACGGGTCAACAAATCTGCAAAGCCTTGCGTAATTATCGTTTAATTGCCGCTGGAATTTCGCGATAAACCACCTTTTGTGGGCTAATTCGGGCTAATTCTCAATTGACATTGGCATTGGCTTGAACCGGCCGCAACAATATTTGACTTGAGGCTAAACTGGTTTGGCTAAATGGCCATAAAATTGAGCCAGAATTCTCGCACATGAATGTGGCAGCAGAAACAAAATAAATGCATACATATTTCCTTAAACTATTGTATTCATAATTTCACAGTTATGTTCTAACAAGTTTTGCTCAAACAAAATCCCAAATCAGAAATAAAATTATAATGCAAATATCGGAAGCTTCCTGAGCATCTTTTAACCTAATCCATTTGACACCTTTGTTTGCTCCCAACCGGTCGGTCAGCCGATCAGTCGTCTTGCCAATTAGCAATTTGGCTATAAGTGTCTGGCGCCTTTAACAAAATCGTTGCGCCTTGCATGATTGGACACGACAGCGAAAGCGTTGCTGCACATTGATAGATTGACAGACTGACCGACTGACAAACTGACAACCAGTCTTGACAGAAGTAGTTGTTGAAGCTGAAATGTACTTTTACGTACCCCCTTCCTGTTATCCATAAAAATAAAATAAAATGCGGAATGCTTTTAATGCTTAAAGCTTATTTAACAACTTTAATTTCAAACATTTCAGTTTTGAATGTAATTTATTTCATCTGAAGCAAATAATTGTCAAATAAATTAACCCAAATTTCGTCACAAGTCGTATATTTTGAATGTGGTACTGCGAATTTATAAACATGTTGGAGTTAGGAACTCAGAAGGTGTTTTCCAAAGTAAACAGGACTTAAAAAAAAAACAGAACAAATGGTTTTTTCGGCAAAATCAATTTATTTTATTCAAAATAGTCTCATTCTGCTTCAATACAGCTTTTTGCACGATCCAAAAGCATGTCGAACGAGTGTTTTAGCTCGTTGGCCGGTATGGCTGCCAGTATGCCGGTGCAAGCCTTTTGAATGGCCTCTACGTCTGTATAACGCTTTCCTTTCATGGGCAAATGCATTTTTCCGAAAAGGTAGAAGTCGCACGGTGCCATATCAGATGAATACGGCGAGTGGTTAATGGTTAAAATGTGATTTTTGGTCAAATAATCGATCACAAGCGTCGATCGATGAGAGCAATTTTTGGTCGTCAGTCAATTTGTGCGGAACAAACCGTGCACACACCTTTCGTAAGCCCAAATGTTCGGTCAAAATGCGATAAATCGATGTTTTGGAGATGATCAATTCCATTTCCATTAATTTCAATGATGATTTCGGTTGATTTTTGATGAATTCACGCACAGTTTCGATGGAATTTTCGGTGATCACGAATTTTGATTGGCTCACATTTTGATCGTCATTTATGTCCTCACGACCACTTTGAAAACGTTGAAACCACTCGTGCACTCTGCTATGGGATAGGCAATCATCGCCATAAGCCTCTTCCATCAATTGAAACGTTTCGGTAAGAGTTTTACCAATTTTAAAACAAAATTTAATGTTGGCTCTTTGTTCGAAGCTCATTTTCGCACGGATAACACAAACATACTGACACTTAAAACGCAATAACTTCACTTCCAATCGATGAAATGTCATGAAATTCTCACAGGACAATCGATAAAGATAGCAGATTCCAACGCATCAGCCGACATATAGATAGCGCCAGCAGGGGGCGCTAGATTCAAAAAGTCCTGTTTACTTTGGAAAGCACCTTGTAGTTTCATCTAGATTAATTATCAAGGAATTGGAATTGGAATTTTCATCAAATCAGATGAGAGATAAATAAGAAAACGATTAGAGATAAATTGAACTTGTGTTGGCAAGGCATTAGAAGACACTCTAGAAAGAGAGACATACCAGTCATTTCCGAAAGCTAGATGTTCATTTAAATATACGAACGGACCTGTCTATAGAGGATTTTTTCTCGCCATGCTGATTATTACAAATCATTATTATAATACTATAAAAATACACCTAATTCTGTGTTTACAAGGTAATTGGTTCCAGAAAAAGTCGTGTAAGAAATTCGTGTAAAAAAAGACATTGATCAGATGTTATTTTAAATCGTGCTTAATGGAATAATGTCGTGTAACCAAATACAAATTTTTAATTTTCAAACCGTGTTAAATCAAAACCGGTGTGCCCGTTCCATAATTTTTGTGCAGAAACCTAAAAAATGTGAACCCCATTGCGATCGTTTAAGACGTCAAAGTGATTGGTTCTTAATCCTCTTTGATTGGAAATTTCGTAGATTTTGGAACAGTTGCCGGAAGTGCAAATACACCAATAATTTATTTTGAAAGCCCTTCCTGTATTCAGTTCCTCGATCCATCTCCATTGAACAAATAAAATATACACTTAATGCCAGAAAAACTGTCAAAGTTTGCAATCCCCTTTTATGTTGGTGGATGATTTATTTTACTTGTGCTCGTTTTATAGAGCCCCACTTGAGGTGTTTTATGATGGTGTACGTGTATGTCTACATACATACACACATTGTCTTTTGTAGTTTCCCGTTAGCCGATGTAAATTGTGATATGCATGTGAATAACTGTGCATGTGTTTTTCGGGCAGCCGGCGACGCCCACACTTTGAATGGCCGTCGTTGGCCGGCCTTGGGTCATAATGGCATCCATTTGAATGATTAATAAACAGCATTAGCGAAAATGTTGTTGGTGCGTTTTCTTGTCATTTTATTGTTTTATGCTTCACACACGCTTGCGCAATTTTGATGCCGAAATAGAAGAGACGTCATTATTCAAAACAAACAACACAATACTTGTGCAAACGCGAAATGTTTAATGGCCCTAAGAATGTTTGCCACCATCTTACAAAGTTCTCAGCGCTAACCAAATTGACCTTCACATATTTTGAACAAGCTGACCTCGAATTACATGCATTCGAGTTCTAGTTCTAGTTCGCTTTTAATTTATGCAAAAAGGCAAAAAACAAAGCACCAAACAACACGTTTTTAGATCTGTGATCACAGATCACAGCAGTTCCTCTCCAGTCCAGTTTGGGTTGTGGCTGCGTCTTTCTCAATTATGCTGACGGGCTTGGCAGCTGTTCCCACAACCTGTTCCGGCCATAACTCTCAGCAAGGCGGCAAGTTTGTTGCAATTGTCTTTCATAATTCAATTTATACAACGAAATTCAATCAAAGCGCAATTAGTTAAACAGCCGTTGTCAGTGTTTTCTTTTTAGTTGTCTGAGCCGTTTAACTGACGACTTATATAATGCTTTATTTTAACATTATTGCAAATTTATATCCATAGAGTCAGCGAAATCAATAAAAGTTAAATCACGTCAATTAATCAATTGGTCAAATGGCGAAATAAAGGGAGATGGCCAGAAGACAGAAAGAAAGCCTTGAATTGGCGATTAAGCCAATAAAATTACTATTAAAATTCTCCTTTATTTCATTTTTGATACCCGTGCTCATACCCATGTACTATACATGCCTTGTATTTTTATTTTTAGACTGCCCGAACTGTGTGGACGAGTCACAGTACACGCCGAACAAATGGACGATGCCGTTGCTGAAACTCGGCGAGAAGCGTTATTACCTCGGCATCTTCTTCAAGGTAAGCCACATTCCACATACTACAACAACATACATACATACAAGTATGTGCAACAACGGACTGCAACGGTCCACGCCGATACGATCCGGTCTGCACGTCCACCTCTGCCGCAAATTCGCGCAGATCTCCAACAATAAATTGCATATGGAATTTTACAAGTTTCTTGATCTGCGACATTTAAATATATCTTCAGCTTTGCTGTGCTGTGCTGTGCTCGAGCTCAGCGCAGCGCATCTTTGTTCATCAACCATCAAGCCAGTATTTACATTAGCTTCTGCTACTACACGCCCAAAATCCACAGACTTTGCCCCAGAATTCACGTCCCTCAATGCCAGCTCGGCCATAAATTGGATATACAAAGCACTTGTTCATGGCTACGATCTGAGCCGCCGCGTGCGCCTTTGCGCATCGACACCGTCGATTTTGCTGACGCAGCGTGTTTATTTTATGCGTCCATTCATATCAAAATCAAATTAGTCAAAGCCAAACAAAGGCCTAAGGTTTTATAACTATTTACCGAAATCGCGTCTAAAACGCACCCAAAACGCGTCGCCGCGACTGACGCACGAACCATTGATCGTTGGCCGTTGGCCGTTGGCAGTTGGCCGTTAGATGTTAGTTGTTAGCCGCTTCGACAGGTATGCAAATTCGTCAATGTAGCTGCGTTTTCTTTATGGAATCTACATAAAAAAATATATACATATTTCCTATTTTTAAAACGTTCTCCTTGAACTTTAAAGCTAAGCTATAAATTTACGTCTTCGCGCTTCGTTCCCGCTGCCTTTGTATTTCTTTGTAATTAAAAACATATTTTAAAAATCATCTCATTCAAATGGTTTTCAATGGCATTCGTAACTGTTTTTCATTGACAAAATGATTGACTTACAACAATATAGTGGGGAGGTCTAATTGTCGACCTTCTTGAGATAATACGATGCCTGAAAGATTCCAAGTAGTGTGTAGCTTTAAATTGGAGCTTTTTAAGGGATCAAAGAGGGGTATATCGGAGAGTTTTTTCATTTTGTTTTTTTTTTATTATTGCGAATCGGCCTCCAAATTAACACAACTTATTGAAGTTACAGCAATACAGATTATTTGATAAATTAAAGGACTTTTTAGTTTAATTTATTTTGATCTACCGGCTGTCTTCTTTTGAGCCGAGTACTTGGTAAGCGTCAGGAAGGGGCCTGGCCAGCTTGCGTGCCAATCATATTTATTTGGAGCTACATGGTCTCCAAATTTAGGTTATCCCATATCTCCCGTATCTATTGCAGTGTTTTAGACTGTCCTTTTGTCACATAGGAGCTGTTCAGACCTAGCATCCAGTTGACGAATAATTTTAAAGAAACATTTTTTAACTGACGTATTATACGGCAACACAGCAAAACCGTAGCTTTTCCAACAAGTCTAATAACCAAAGACTAATAAACGATATCTACTTTATATTATTCATGTTTTATCCAGTCGGTTTATCCGTAGGTAACAATCTGTTTAGAAATTCAAATATCATGTCCATCATGCTCGCATCGAACTAAAAATATCGCACTGATATTAAAGGTGGGTTCCTGCAGGTGATATACATATATTTGAAATAATCTAATCTCCTTTAGAATTAAAGAGAAAATGCAAGCAGACTCGTTAGTAATATTTCACTATACCCACAAAAACCTCTTCTGAAGAATAAAGGACGTGCTGGCTGCTGTACATTGTTTTGTCAATAACTTGTCTTAGGATTGGCCGATTTAGATGGTATTTAAAACAAGAGTATATGTATATATAATTATATATGTATTTAATTTACGTTTAAAACGTTTTGTTTAATATGCTTTTCAGGATACTTTGCTTATGAGGTACAAACAAACTAAAGAAATTCATTTTAATTCAGTCTTAGATTTGGTTTGGTTTCCGAAAACTCCCTATCAGTAACCTACTACTGGAATAACTCTATTATTATTATTTAAACATCCCTGTCACATAACGAGTATCTTCGTTAAGCAAACACGTTGTTTGGCATAAACGTTATACTTTATTTTGCGGCTTTCTGCCAAATCAATTGCAGCCATTGGCACCAATATTTGTATTAGAATATTGCTATGAGAAGAATACCTAGAAAGAGGTATAACAGTGAACATAGCATATATTACATATATAGTACAAACTAAAGAAATTCATTTTAATTCAGCCTTAGATTTGGTTTGGTTTCCGAAAACTCCCTATCAGTAACCTACTACTGGAATAACTCTATTATTATTATTTAAACATCCCTGTCACATAACGAGTATCTTCGTTAAGCAAACACGTTGTTTGGCATAAACGTTTTACTTTATTTTGCGGCTTTCTGCCAAATCAATTGCAGCCATTGGCACCAATATTTGTATTAGAATATTGCCATGAGAAGAATTCCTAGAAAGAGGTATAACAGTGAATATAGCATATATTACATATATAGTATGTATTGAAATAAAGAAGATTTTTGTAACTATTATAGCACTGTTATGTGGATCGATTCCATGTATTTAAATAAAAAAGCTTTTTGCAAAGCATTCTTATTCTTTAACCATAATTGTCTTCAATTTTAAAAAATTCCCTTACGATTTCATCTTAATCCAACATTCTTCAATTACCCCTCTAGAAAGTCACTCTTACGGTTTTGGACTATCTATAATATTGAAGGCCCCATTACTTGTCTTCCACGAAACACGAAAATGATTTAATTAATTTTATAAATTATATTTGATGGTATGGATATAATCTATATAATCCTTAATATTCTAAGTTTTCACGAAAGTTGAAAACGTGCTCCATAAAAACACCAAGAATTAATGTTTACCTTTCGAAGCTGGTCAACTACAATAAATTTATAATTGTTGCTTGTGCGGCTACCCATTCAGGCGGAGCCTATAAATAAGTTGATTTTGCCTTCGCAGCAACTTAAATCAATCCCAATGAATTTCTTTGTATTATAATCCATAAACCTCCACAACAAAAGCTTAAGACTAAATGTTTAATCAACATTTATTCTTAAGTGACATGAATTTGTGATTTTTTTTCGCATGCATATAAATCGAATATTCAAAAGAGCAGCAGTAATTAATTTTTGGAATATCCTGTTAATAAAACATTCATATTGTATGTGACTATACTCCTATAGTAGTATGTGAAAGAGAGATTAATTGTGAATTCATTATTGTCACATTAATTACAGCGGCTCAGATTAGGGAACACGATTTAGACTGAAATGCCACCCAATAGAATGGCCGGTGGATTTGAAAGCAATCAAATAAAATGCAGCAAATAAACAAACTCTTAATTGCATGAATTGAAATCCATTATAACACAGTATACACACGATATATAGTCGCATATGGCGCATCGATGATGCCATCGACATCTGTATCACACCCACAAACAGTTAGCTGATATAGTAGAGTGTGTTATCGAATTAGCCATCATTGAATAAACTCGAGTGGTTGCGATTTAAATTTTTGCATTTTAAATGGCTGCACAGAACGTTGACATTTTAATTAGCTAGCCACTTTTTAAATGAATTTTTACGAGCGAGTATTTTGTTATGGCATATTTAATTAGCCATGAATACATACATACTACTACATATATCCCCGAAAACAGTTAGAATTGGTAACTATGTATTGGCCATTTGATTGGTTAAGTGGTCAGTTTAAATCGCCGTTGACTTGGTCTGCCTGGCACGGTCATCGATTGCGCAATGGACTGTTTCGAAAAGAACTCAAAATTAGCAATGCGTGTGTAAAAATGCAAATGATTTCAACAATTTACATATATTCAAAATTAATTTGCAAACGTCACGCTATTGCCATCGGTTCATTCTTAATGTGGCTCTGGCTCTGGCTCTGCATCTCCGGTCGGGGCGCCTGCGTAAAACGAGTGGCGCTAATTGCCCAAGCTGAGTCGAGCTGAGTCAACAGCGATCTCGGTCTCGATCTCGGTTCGGATGGGGATTTCAAAACCCCAACGTTAAGCAACTCATTTAAAATTCTCGTGTCTTACAGTGTGTTGTATGTCAAATACATTTAGTCGCCTCTAATTGGTCTGCTGTAATTTAAATCACTCACAAAATGTAGATTTCTGTTTTAAGAATGAAGCCGTTGTCATTGAGATACGAGCTCCGTCTAAAACCATGGCTTATTATGGGCTATGATTAGCACAATTATGCGATGTGATTTAAATGATGTCTTAACTGAAACAATTTAAACACATATATTTCAAATTACTATTTTTAGTTATAATTACTCATTTACTATAATTACTAAAAATAAAATGTATATTTTGGCTAAATGAGTGCCTTCAGTCCACAAAATAATCACCTACCGAATCAACAAAACATTTTGCACGATTCAGAACTATTTCGGACAAGAGATTCAGCCTGTTGGCCTGCATGTCCTTCAGAATAGTGGTACATGCCTTTTGATTAGCTTGGACGTCCTTTTAGAGCTTCCTATTTAGGTAATGGCCACACGGAGCCAAGTCCAGTAAATATGAATGTTGGTGGATGATTAAAATGCAATTTTATGTCCAAAAACACAACTTCTGCGTAACAAAGAAATAACCTTTTGCAGACCCAATTGTTCAGTTGAAATGAATCGTTGATTTGGGCATATTAATTCTATTTCCATTAATTTCACCAATACAAGTATGTGGCAAAACCAGAAAGGGATACTTTGGTATGCACGTTGTTTAATAAAGATCAGCAGCTCCCCTCAGCATTTTCGTAAATATTTGCTTTAGAGCTTCCGTTTCAATATTCATTACATTGCTAAAAAGCTAATACTTATACCCGAATGTATTTTAAATATTGGGAGATATACGAGATCTTTTCAAATTCCGAAAACAAAAACTATACCCAAGGAACTTTTATTGAGTTCAATATACAATATAACTTAAATACTTGCCCTTTTTTGAGTTTTTATCGGAATTAGGTTTTATTCATTTGAGTATTTACATTTTTGCCATGTTTATTAATAGCCAGAGTAACTAAGGCCGTCCAGGAAAATTATGTTTAAATTTGCTTTTATTTGGAGAAAAAATATTGGCTTCTTTTTATTACTGAGTAAGAAATACATATGTAAATAAAATTAACGCTTAAAAAGTAATTTTTAATATATAATATTTATTTCATATAGTATGTGTATACACATATTGTATCGTATTAATAAGAGCCGAGCTTTCAATGATCTACCTAACGTGGCTAATTCATGATACTTTTGCAGAGCATTCTCTTCCTTGCTGGGCATATAGAATTATTGCATTAGTTGCATCTCCCATTTAGTAATATACACATACTCTTATGCGAGAATATTTGCTCTCGCTTACTCTAGCGGAAAAACAAATTAGAGTGTCAGGAGTCATTTCACAATGTCAGGATACATCCAAGCCACTCAAAAAACTTTCCACAATTTAATCTAGAAAAGAATCGCAGGAATTTTTGTTGAAAACACAAGTAGCTATATTATACATGCAAAAACTGTTATATTTAATACCTTTATATTTTATCTTCAATATAAGGACTGAAAAGCTTTATAATAATGTTTATATTTAGTGCAAAATCACACTTTAATACTAGGTACATAACATAATCTATGAAACTGTTTTCGTGGACAACAAAATAAAAAAATCACCATTTACTTTTTAATTTTTAAATTATTGAAATATGTTTCTTTATATAGTTATGTTAAAGTTAAATAATGATTTGAAATATATTTAATTTTCAATATTTTGGCATAATTTAATAATCAATAATCCATAGTAGGAATATAAAACTTGTGGTTTATTATACATATACAATTATTTTAATTCCGATCCCACAACTTTCGGCTATTCTTAGGATCTCTTCTACCGTTTCTGGAAATAAATCATGGAAACACAGTTTACCCCACTCATTCGAATAAATTGACAACTTTTCAGAAACTATTCCATTAAGCCAGCAAAATAATTTAATGACTGCAATACATTAATTTCTTGGGGTTCCCTCTATTAGACTTAGGCAAAACCTTTAATGGAAATCCCACATTGTCAAATGATTTTGTAATCACTTAAAGCGTCCGAGCACCAAGAATTCGAACTGAATTTATTTATCACTCTGTCCCCGATTTGGCCGCAATGGCATACGTACTACAAGTACATATATTTATGTACGATTGTTGGACCGAGCTGGCAGCTGCCGCAAATCTCGACAAACAGACGTGCGGCTATAAAATCGAAATGTTTGCTGACAGCGTTTTATGTTTTATTTTGAATTATTCAAAGGTCCGCTGGGTAACCAAAGGAGCAGAGTTGGACAGCCACGTGTGTGGAATTCAATTTGCATGCGAAGCCAATTAGTGACAAAAAAAAAGGAAAACACAAACTAAAACTCAGTTTGGCGCGTGTCGCTGTCAAAACTGTTGGGACAGCTTTACAATATCCAGTTTCGAATAACCGTGTGGTACATGCACACTATTTTATATTTAATTAACACTAATGGCTTTCGATGTAGTGCGTGGGAGTACGAATCGGGGTTGATGCCTGCATTTGGCACCTGTCGCTGCTAATTAGATGAAAGCGCTGTTCGCCATTTTCAAATAGTATGCGAGTATGCTAAGTGCAGACTGCTATGCTGTGTTGATTGCCCGTTTCCCGAATCGGAGTAAATATTGGGAATTTGCAAAGCGGGACGGCCCAGCTCTGGGTCGTTTTGATATTGATGCAGGCACCTCTAATGGTGGCACCACCAACGCTCCAAAGCACTTACTAGCCCACATCCTGTTGCTCTGTAGGCGCATCTACTGTGTACTGTGTGTGTGTGTGTGTGTGTGAGTGTGGGTGAGAGTGTTGGGAAAGTGTGGGAAGGTGCGCCAGGTGATGCGCACGTAAATCGATTACGGAACTATTCAGTCGTTGCTAGGAGGCAAGTGGCAGGAGTAGGAGCAGGAGCAGCATGTTTGGCGGCTTACATGCGGTCCGCCGCAACGTAGACGCCATTAACTTTGCTTTAATTATATTGCACGTAATTGTGCGCGAATAAAGCGCATTTCAAAGGGGCCACTTCAACCACCTCCTATTATTCACTGCCAGTACCCCCCTCTACCCAGCGACACGTCAAAGACATGTTTAATGCCAATTTGTAGTGAGTGAGTGTATGTGAAGTCGGATGTTGCCCGTACAGCTGAGATGCCGAAAGTGTTTATGGGGCTGTAAAAAGGGCATACCACGCCGAGAGGCAATTAATTCTGTTTCTTCTTCACACTTTTGGACTCGTATGTGAAGGCATGTGTGTCGCTTTCATCATTAACCTGTAATGGGGTCTGGAAATGCCTTTCACTAGAAGTTATTGTCATCGAAAGTGCAGAAAACATGGAACAAGTAAAAGTGAATCAAGAAGTTAAAGACGGCCCTGATTCTCTGATGATGGGATATAGAAATTTGATGAAATTCTTCTTTCAATTTAATTCAACATGTTGGTACATACTATTCCACAAATTGCTTTTCACACTATTATAGTATTACGAATATGTTCAGAAACTTCGTAAAGTTGTCGTAAAAAAAGACGTACCACACTATATCAAATGAGAACTTCAACTTTGAAGTAACGCCATTCCTTGAATCGTAATCTAAAACAACTGTTTGCTTTAATCAAGAAACTCATTTTAAAGAAAATAGCAAGGCACAATGAAACTACACTTACATATGGTAATAGAACATTATGTCATTATAACTTGCTCTAATGCTTCTATTAACTACATTTTCAATTTTTGGAAACTACTTGTATGATTTCCTTTAAAATCTACAATAAAATAATAAAAACAAATATGCTGTTTTATCCTTTACACTTATACCGAAAGCAGAAAAGTTGTGGGAAAATTATTTACATTATTCAATCAATTTTAATAATTACTGGTACGATGTGAATTAAATACATAGTTTAATTTATTCAAATTTTATTTCCATTACTGCTTATGTAAATTGTATATGATCTGATTCAGCGTTTGTAGACCTTTCCCTATAATTAAGACCACATTCCCATTTCTGTGATGAAATTGTCTTCATAACATCGAAAACGAAACTGTTTTCTTTATTGGCACTATTATACACTAATTGAATAAAGTGTAACTGGTCGTAAAGTGTAACTTCAGTTGATTGTTAAGAGCCCTTTTTGATGCAATTCACGCTTACTCTTTTTAAACGAACATACTCCTTCTTTTCGTTTGCAGGCAAATTGGTTTAAAGCCACGCAATATTGCCGTTATCATGGCATGCACTTGGCAAGCATTTCATCACAGGAAGAGAACGATAGACTGGAGAAACACATACGCGACTTTGGTAAGTAATATCCGTAAAAGCGACGAGCTGCAAAGCAATCGAAAAGTTCCATTAAAAATGTGAACTGCACTCAAAGAGGCTGTAGACGTGCAGCGTCAACGTCGCTTTGCAGCAAATCAGTTAAAAGCTGATCAAAAGTGCCTGATAAATGACCATTGGTGGACGCCGCCACTCAAATGTCTGGGCGCGTTGACTTTCTAGCCATAATACGCGGAAGTTGAAAGCCAAGCCAAACAAACCAAAAAGAAACCAAGAGTAATACACCATAGACGACAAAAGGGAGGTTTGGACTAACTCATTTAGTGGGCTCTTTTGTTAGCTGTTGTTAGCCCCGACCACGTCATGGCTTTCAACAATACATACACACTTTCCATTGCGGCATTATGGCAGTTGCATAAATTTTTTAGTGCATACCATGAACATGAACAATTGCAACAACTTCGTGTGTTTCGGTCGAGGCTTGACCAAACAAGCCAAAAAGTGAATGTACGACGATCACGATGGCAGGGCATCGGTGACCGCTGTCTGTGGGCGCCCACGCCACCCCAGTTGCCCATATGGACGACTAACTATTACGCCAGTCTTAATCCGTTTATGGTGCACTGACTTGCGAACATACAAGTATATTTGTTAATTTACGGTCTATGCTTACATTTCATTAACAGGCTTGGGCCACGAGCACTTCTGGATTTCCGGCACAGATCTAGCCGACGAAGGAAACTTCTTTTGGATGGCCACGGGTCGCCCAATTACATTTACCAACTGGAACGCCGGTGAACCGAACAATTTCCGCTACGAGAATGGCGAGGAGGAGAACTGCCTGGAGTTATGGAACCGTGATGGCAAGGGCCTTAAGTGGAACGACTCGCCGTGCAGCTTTGAGACATATTTTGTGTGCGAGGTGCAGCCCAATTGAGCATCAACTGACCAAGTGACCAAAACGCATGACAATACGACCAGCCGCCACTCACACTCACACACACACACACACACACACACACCAACGCTCACATATATAGCAACCCTGCACACCACGTCCCTTCGCTCCGCTCTATGCATACGAGTGTGTTGAGTAGTTCGCTGTAGAAATTAAGCATATGACATGTACATACATACATGTATAGCCACAGCCCGTGTAGTCGAGCAAAGACAATTTGCCCCGTTAGAGAGCAGCATATAATTACTACCTTTAGTTATTATGTAAGTGTAAATTCTTGTTGATAATTAGCTAGTAACCTAATTAAATTATACGCTAGAATTCGTTTCTCATATGAAAATAAAAAATTACAAAATAAAAAGACCAAAACAACACAAGTCTAACGTCATCATGAAGTGCTCTTCAGGTGCAACAGTGCGTATGAGCAATCCATTTCAGCGCATCGTCTAGCAACAACAACAACAGCAACAGCAACAACAATACGAGTAGAACGAACACAAGCGCTCAATAATTTTTCCATTATGAGCGCAAATAAAATTGAAAGTGGCTTTCAGCACGGCTCTCCCCCAATCGCCCAATCGCCTTATACAGCGCACCCTCAACAAGAACACCAAGAACAACAACAACAAGAACAACAAGGTGCACAGCAGCGCAGCCATCGGCTTTGTGAGTTCAACCAAACAGCTGGCAGAGCAAACGGACGCAGATGCGAACGAGAGAGCGGGCGGGTGGTGGACGGAGCGCCACATGTTGTCGTTCTCACGTGTAAACAATATCCCAGAACGAGCATACGCCTCACTCGCATCGCTGCTCACGACGCTCACGAGGCTGCTCTTCGATGCAGCCACCTGTCTGCCTGCCTATAGTATAGTAGCCTGCCTCTCTCCATGCCTTCTTGACTGAACAAAACTAATGTTGATAAAATAATAATCCCTGTTAATGGGACCACTACACTTACTCTGTCATGATTTACTTTGCAATGCTCCAAAGGAATCAGCACAAACAACGCACCCAACGGAGACTACATCCACAAAGAGAAAGCTGTTGCCATTGCCAACACTGACTGCCTCTACGAGTATGTACGTCTGTATGTTTGGCCACCGGCAAGGGCTGGTTATGACCCACCTGTCCCAACCTTATGCCCGTTTTTTGACCCCCTCGGGATGGACTATGCGAACCGTGCAACTATATGTATGTTGCGGCAGTTGTTTATGCGCCTGAACGGAATACAACGCAACGGGGAACGGAGGAGAGCAAGATGGGGAGCGGACAAGAGACGTTAGCGTCTGCGCCAACACTTTCAAGAGCAAGGGCCTCTTGAAGAGAAATAAATGCCCATAATGTTACATTACGGCAACAGTTTTTTATTTGCAGTCGAAAATGAACCGAAAATGTTCAGAGCAGTGATAAGGTACTTACACCTGTATATGACTAGGCAGTTTGAACAAACAACTACTAATTAAGTAATTTCACAAATAAATTGAAAATAGTGCAAAGTAATTGGACTATGGGATGAAACTGTTTTTTTTTTTTTTTGTGACATGAAAAAGTAGCCAACATTACTTTTAAATAAAAACTGCTCAATACACAACATCTTTAAATTCCTTACTCAAATTAATAGATTTAAGTATTATACCCCTAATTCTGTTTTTGCACGGTTGATTGGTTCCAGAATAAAACGTGTAAAAAAACCGTGTAACAAAAGACATTGTTCATATGCTAAATGGATCGTGCTAAATGGAATAAAGTCGTGTAACCATATATAACATTTTTAATTTTCAAACCGAGTTAAATCTAATCTCGTCTAAAAACAGAAATAGGTGTATATGATTCAAGTAGTATATACGTAAGTCCACAAGGCGAATTAAACTGACGTAATTTGGCAAATATACTGTATTTAAATTTGATTAAAAATGATAAAAGCCATTATTTTGATGAGCAACACGTTAAGCAAATCAATAAAATTCCGCTCCAAAATCGACAACTGACCACTAGAGACATTGCTGATGCTGTTGGTATTTCAGACAACTCTGTTCTAAGAAAAGTTTTATGTCTCGTAAAAGGCAAATTTCGTTTGCTCTAAAAACACAATAGGTCTAGTACTCGTTCTCGATGACCGTTTTCTTAAAAACAAGACGTGTGACTCCACTCTATTTAATAAATAGAAAATAAATTTCATTCCAGAAAACGATTTTCCTGACTCCTTCATGGTATACCACGAATGATGTAAGAGTAGGGTTATGTCAATACCTTTCTATAAACGGCAGATGGAAGCATCTGTGACCCTATAAAATATACGGATATATTCGTAGTCCACCCATTTAACCCTCCGTATAAATCAAACTTGGTACCTATATTCTCAGAAGGATTTATTCAAAAAATATGTTGAAATTTTGAAAACACTATATAATTATTATCTCTGATGGCGTTAGAATATGAAGCAACTAACGTTCAACCGCTCCTGGCTAATTCCAAAGAGCTTTTCTCTTTGAATTAGTCTCTTCTCTTCTCTCTTCTTTTTCGGAACTCAGGTTGTTCATGTCGTATCGGATTAATATCAAAGGCGGTGCAAAGTACTTCAGTGCCAAACCAAAACACACAATCACGCACGAACGTCGCGCCGTTGTCGTGGTCTTCGGCACGAACCGAAAACACGCAACGATGCTTGCCGTGCTCTGGCGCAAGGCTCTGAGCGAGGGCGAACGAGCGAATAGGCGGCCGTGTTAGTTCTTTGTAGACATTTTTCCGGTACGGACGCGCGTTTTACGGCACGCAGTTCTTTTTATTTGGCCCAAACGCTTCCATTTAATATCATTAGGGGCAATGCGGCATGGTCGTCGTGGCAGTCGAGGACGTGGATGTGTCGCTTAAAAATTAAACAAAATGTCAGCGCATGAAGTGCAAATAATGAAAAGCAAATGAAGAAGTGCGTAAATTATGATATCTCGTGCAACTGGGAGTTTAGAGAGAGACTTGATGGCCGTTTGTGGGCGTTTTGGTTGTTGCTTTTTTTTCTTCATTTTTTTAATAAAAAGGAAATCGTCGCGCTCTTTGTGTATGATTGTGTGGATGTATGTTTAGGCGAATGGGTGTATGCGTGTGTTTGTGAGCCTTTGTGTGGCGTGTCCTGATAACATCGCAGAAAGTAAAATTAGGGCAAAATGCTTCTGCTTCAGTGGCAGCTCGAGACGAGCCAAGTCGTGTGCCTGCCGAGTATCCTGTATGTGTGTGTGTGTGTGCGTGCTGCTCCCCGCCCTGCTTAAAGTGCTATCCTCACAGCCTAATTAATTCAATGGGCGGCGGTTGTGTTGCGACTCTTTAAACCGAAAAAAAGGATGCCCACGGCGGCTTTAATTGAAATTTTATTTTCTGGCAGCCCCAAAAATAATTAAAACTCGACACAAAATTTCAAATGGATTGAATTGAATTGAAAGAAATTGTATTTTAATTGCAGCAAATGATTATAAATAAGCTTAAAATGCGGGAAAAACTACAAATATACAAATATTAAGTGCACAAATCCAATTTTAATACGCAGGCCAACATGTCGTCTAGATGTACATACATATATCCACGTTGCTGTTGTTTTTCTTGTTGTTGCTGCTGCTGTCGGTTCTTAAAAATAAATTTTCCGTTTTTCAATGCTAAGCAAATTGCGAAAATTGTCAAACGCCCTACGCGCATCAAAGAGCTGAAAAGAAAGAGCAAAAGAAAATGCGAACATTAAAAATCGGAAAGCACAAAAACAAAATCAACACAAAATCAAATGTGCGTGTCTTCATAAAATGTTTTCAAATGTGAAATTTATAGTGACTTTTTCCCCCCGTTACCATTTTGTTTATGCAAATATTTAACGCGCATTAAAAATGCACAAAACAAACATTTATGCGTAATAAAAGGATAAAGCAAAAATGTACTGTCGTTTGTGACGGGCAAACAAGTCGACAGAGTGACAAAATGACAAACTGGCAAACTGGCAAGCGGACGGACTAAACTGATTGGGCAAATGGCACCTACCCGAGCCTAATTTTCCCCTCGCCAAGTGAGCTGAGCAGTAGAGACGCGTGCGTGAGCCAGTTCCACTGTTCCTCTCCTTTCCCTCACACCACTCGGCACAATCCAGACAGCTAGGCAGCACTGGTGAGGGGCGGTGAGCAGAGGTGAGGGGAGTTGAGAGACAGCCTCCACCACTCCATGTCATGTGTTGTACGCCCACAACAAACATGACATTTTACTGTTTTTTTTATGCTCACCACATGTCACGACAAAGTTAACTTACACAGGCAGCCGCCTGCCACCAACAACAATAACAATAACCGCAGCTGCAAACACACACATAAACACACTCACAAGGGTTAAATATACTATATGTTCCTGCCGTCATATTTCATATTACTTTTATTCGCATCAAACATGACCGCACACATCGGGTGAAATATTACGCCGACAACAGCCACAATTATGCGAGCGTGGAGCGAGTGGGCGTGGCAGTCAGCCAACCAAGCATTCAAAAGGGTTATGTAGCCTTATCGCATGCCAATCAACCGAATTGAAATTGCCCTCGACGACATTTCTATACACGTATTGCCAGCCTACTGCTATTAATGTTAAATGGTCCGCCTGCTCCTATGCCTGCGCCTGAACCTGAGCCTGAGCCTGAGTCTGAGCCGTAGCCTGGCAAGACGGCCAAAGCAACCCAAGCCTTGCCCCCAATCCCAGTCGGAGCAATGGGCACGAAGGGCACAATTTCGTCTCATAATAGAAACACAAGCGTTGCGACTTTATTGCCGCTACTTGAGCCAATATTTGCACATTTCAACAATGTTGCCTTCTCAACATGCACATTCTGTGTGTGTGTGTGTGTGTGTGTGTGTGTGTGTGTGTGTGTGTGTGTGTCTTTATGTAAGTGTGTGTGCTTTGTGGTCCCCGTACTACCTGTACAAGTATATGGCTACACCAGCACCCCCTACACACACTCGTGCATACTGGAAATGTGCCGTGTAGAGTACCTGTGCATAAAAAGGCGCAATTCAATTTCACCCTTTCCGGTCTGTTACCATTTCAAGTTTCCGCCCCTCATCCCTCCCCCTTCCCCTACCACCCAACCCATCCGTCCCCCAAAGGCATACCCTACACAACAAACATGATGAGGTCGGCTAGTTGTCACTAGGCATGCTCCTATGTAAGTATGTACTATACGTATCCTTGCTCTCATAGTAGGTATGGGTACAAAGCTAAAACTACATGCCTGTCTATTGATGCACGATTTGTGTGGCCCAGCGCCTGAAATTATGCTAAGAGTGTAGTCTCTGACAATGAGCAAAAGGAAATGACTCATTGGTTTCTCATAATGACGCATCCGGCCTGGTCCTTTGTTAAAATGCGTATTCCTATCGTACTCAAGTGCTATTGTTGATAATTTGTTTAAATTGCGCCTCGATTCCGTTCAAAAATGTTGGGCAATTAAATATACAAATTCCAATTTGCTTTCGTCTATCAAGGGTTAACTTGATCTGCAACAACAATGTTAAGATAAGAAATTATAGCTTCAAGTCATTATTTATGTTAAGGAAAAGCTTTCACATAATCCGATTGAGATTTTGCTTCTCGAAATGATTTTCCTTTTAGTTGGTTGCACACTGAGAAATAATCAAAACTAGGTTTTCAAAAACAAAACAGTAACGAAACAATGTCAGCTAAGAAATTCGTATACCACAACTAAACAAGTGGTTTTAAATTCTTTTCTCTAAAAATATTGATTATATAATTTTTCAACCAGTTTCGGCTTAATTGAGATTTTTTTTAAATTGACGTCGGGTTAATTTCCTGTCACAAGATTATGTTTTTTTTTTAACTTATAATAGGTACAAGGTACAGGTACAAGTACCTTGGCTTAGTTCAGTTTAAGTTTCTGAAGACATCGAAGTTACGGAATTGGGAGAGAATTATTTCTCTTTTAATTCTAAATGGGGAGTAACTTAAGTTATTTCATGTTTTGTTAGTTATATCAGTTAGTGGGGAGTTTGAATTTCATGTACGAGATTCAAGACGAACTAAGCACGTTCAATCGAAGAATAAAACAGTTGTTAGCAGTTGTGAAGTGAGCTTCGTAAAATTAACCTAACCATTTGCAATTACGTAATCTGTTTAATTCTGATCTTGCTTAGTATTAGAACATTTTCGTTTAACTTCCGACTTGACAAAAAGACTGATCCTCTAAGGTTTATAGTATTCAACGAAAACAGGCTTCAGAAACTGATTCATTATACGCGTACACACATAGTATGTCAGCATACTTGCACGGACTTTGGAGAAGTTTAGTACTCCTTCCATTCATATAAACAGAAAGACGTACGAACAGACACATCTAGCTGCACTCGCCTTGTCATGCCAATCAAGAATATATAGTATCGGATTCCACAAAATGTCGGTCACCCCTTATCTTATTTGATATAAAAAAGTTCCTTACATCTTACAGCGCATAACACATTAATCAAAATGACAAATAATTTAAATAATTTAGCATTAGCCCTCCCGCTATTCATCCTTCACGTTGTCATAGGGACTATTATGGAGCCCTATTCGTTTAATATCGAAAACTCTGTTTAAGTGCTCATCATCTGAGCCATGCCAAACCTGGAACTTTCTTGCATCCTTAAAACGCTCAAATCGAAAAATAAAATACAAATGTCGCTAACTAACTTGGCTAACCTCCCTTCTATTTTGACTAAGATACCAACAATTCGCCTCAAGCAGTCAACTGAACAGGGAAAGGAAATCCCGTGTGCCTTAGTGCCATTTACATGGAGTATTTTATAACATCAGTCGCATCGTTTAGCCGTTAATATCGCCGCGAAGAGAACATAATGTTCGGACAAGCTCTGCCATCCCTTGACCACGTGCCGGCTGCACATTTCCCGGCATGAAATTACGAAGCCGTAGGCATATGTGCCCACGCCTTTTGGCTGTGCTTGGTGCACTTGGTCCCGTTCCCAGTGCGCACATGGAACGACTCCTCCATGTAATTGTTGTTATTGTTGTTGTTGTTGTTGTTGCTTCTGCAGCTGCAGCTGTGCACTTGAGTTGTGTAGCCCTTTATATTGTTTCATTGTTGTTGGCCATTTTGGCTTTGGCCTCTTTGTGCGCGACTCAACACTCGAAGCGCACGTGAGTAAGTGAATGAGTGTGACGGCAGTGGCGTGGCCATAAGCACGCGATGCACTTGGCCAAGACGCTTTTAGCTTTATTGCCGGGTTGTAGAAGTCTGGGCCTAACCTCTAACACAGCCCCTTTGTCGAGCTGCAGCTGCAACTGCTGGCAATTTCATTGTAAGCCGCCAGCAACGAAATTATTCTCCTGCCCGAAGGCAACAGCGACGGCACTCGAGGGCATATTTTATGACATGTCTGGGAAAATGCAGCAACATGCACCGTCTGCTGAGCTTGCAGTCGACATGCAAGGTACGCCTATAACATCAAATATTTAAGCGCCAGTACTCGGACTTTTAAATAACTTAAAGCCGTTTCGCGTCATCAAATCCGCAGTCGCAGTCATTTATTCAAAGTAAGTCAGCGCCAGCATTTGCCGAGGCTGGAACAAACAATCAGACAGCAAATTGTCTATTTCCTGTGCCTTTAAATGGTTTGCCTGTCTGTCAAATCAATGGGGGGCCCTGTCTGCCACATTCGAGACTTTGACTTTTTCAAGGGCCAACCCAACAGACTCAGGCAGGCAAATCTGTTTCCGGTCTCTTTCCAACTTTTACTTTGAAAAATCACAGGCAACAACAAATCAAATTATCAAAATACATTTTTTTTAAGTTGCGCATACGCCGTGGTTCGCAGATTTTGGACAGTAAAATAAAGCAGCAGCTTTTGCAAAGAAATGAGACCCAACTTTGGCTCTTTGATCTTTTCTTATTTAAGG